TCTCCCCTTTTCCATTTTAAGAAGTTTTAACTTTGATTTTTTTGAAAGTAGTTTTACCATTTCCTTAGTTTGAGTCCTGACACACCCGAGAGTGTGCCCGAATCCCTCAAACCAAGGTTCTAATAGAAACCTGTAACGACCTAATTTTGAAAAAAAATATCATTTTTAAATAGTCAAAAACATTTCCAATAAACCATAAAATCTCAAGTACATTTGTTTTCAAATTCATAACATCAACAATATTATTCCAAACATCATAGTGTCCCATAAAAATGCCTGAGAAAGAGTGCATGTCGCGCCATCAAGCCTTACCCTTTCCTTTAGGCTCAGAAGCACCTGAAACAATCAACAAACTGTAAGCTAATGCTTAGTGAGTTGCCCAGAGCATACCCCACACAATCTACATAATCACATAATCATATTAGCTATAAAAGCTACATAAACCACATAAGCCATGCATACATCATATAGGGATGTCGTGGGCTCGTCCCCAGGGTCTTACTCCAGGATGCCATAGGCTCCTTACATGTTTTAATAGGAAGACCATGGGCTCTCCACCTGGTCTTACATTCGGGTTCCATGGGCTCTCCCATGGTCTTTAATAAGAAAGCCATGGGCTCTCCACATGGTCTTACATCCAGGTGTCATGAGCTATCCCATGGTCTTCCATACAAGCATACCGCATATACAACTAGCATACTACCTAGCATAAAACCAACTATCATGCCACATAATACAACTTCAGCTAGTGTACCACATATCATAAAATGGGCATGCTTTGGTGCCTTCGGCCTATTGGTATGGTGATGAGACTTACCTCTCAAGAGTGTTGAACTGATAAGATAGAATTAGATAAGTCCCAACATGCAGATCCAACTCAATTGCCTATAACCATTATGTGATTAACTTGTCAAAATACCGCAATGCCATAAATACCCTTAAAGTCAATCTTGGTCAACCCTGATCAAATTCCAAGTCAACAGTCCATGTTGACCCCAACTCGTCGAGTTCCTTCAGATTCCATACAACCGAAATCCCATGCCAACTTGCCGAGTCACCTGAGTAACTCGTCGAGTTCCTTAATGTCCAAGGGCCAAAAACTATAAACCGAAATCTCTTGACCAAAATCTCTAAATCAGCTCACCGAAATCACTCTGGATCCCGAAAACGAGAAAATTTTACCTGACTCGTCGAGTTGGTTAAGCAACTCGTCGAGTGCCTTCATCCCTTTTTGTGTTCAGTCCTTTCCAGTGGGATCCAAGGTTCCAAACTACAGATCCCACCCCTTATAGTGTAGTTACCACATAAAGTTTCAAACTTTACGTGCATGCAAGGCCTCAAATGGCTAAAATACTAAAACTAGGGTTCCTACAAGGTTTTAGTGCATGGAAAGGGCCTAAACTGGATAAAGTTGGCAACTTTATGTCATTGAAGATCTAGAGGTGTCCATATCTAGAACCATATGCTTATGACAAGTCCAAATCCGAGTATGACACCCTTTTTGCACCAAAAGTGACCATATTCTTCCATAAGATGAGATCTAAGCAAATAGAGATCAAGGTAGTAACTTTCTACCTCTAAATGGATGCTAACAACATGTAGATGTCGGATCCAAAGCCTTCTCCTCACTTCAATCTCTTCAACCTTCAAATTTCTTTCCAAAAACCACAAGATTCACTCTCCAAAGCTCACACACTCAAGAAAGCACCGAAATGCGGCTAGGGTTTCTCTCTAGACTATAAGAACGATGAAAGAGGCTACAAATGAGCCATAAGTTCTTTAAATAAGGTACAAACCCCTGAAAATTAGGGTTTTACTTTACAACGCCTAATCCTCGAGTCGGGGCCTTCCGACTCGTCGAGTAGGTTATAATTCCCACGTCCTCATGAATGATCTCTAATCGACGAGTTGGAGCTCCCCAACTCGTCGAGTCCTAGCACAAAACCCTAAAAACTGAGAAAAATAAATGATATCTGGAATAGGCGTTACATCGTGAGTCTACATTTGTTCTTTCTTATTATTTGTTTGTATTTGCTAGTATCTTTTTCAAATTGTGACTAGTGTTTGTTCCATGTTTTGTTATACAAATTTTAGGGTGACATTTGTTAAGCATGTATTTATGTGAGTTAGTAATTTGTATCACTTTTTTTCTATATGTTCTATTTGACAATATTTTCCTTAAGTAATATGTCAAATGTTTGCTCCATATATTATTGATATAACTTGTGTATTCATATACTTTGCACTATAGATGGAAATTTTTTACTGAAAAAATTGAACCGGAACCAAGCCCGTTGGAACCAAATAGGTGTACCCCATCCAATTATCGGTTCTATAATTCATATATTTTTGGTTTTTGGTTATGTCGATTTTAGGTCCATTGGGTAACTGTTATTCAACTCTTGGAACCAGATCCGATAGTTTAAAATGGATTTTTTTTCCACGTTAAACATCCATAATTACTTTGTTATAAGTCTGATTGACTTTGATTTTTTTTTTCTAGAATGTAGTTCAATGTTTTGATTTTATACTGGACTTGAAAAAAATGAGAAAAAAAAATTTTATTTGGTTAAATATCAATTGATTTACAAGGCCATAAACAAGGGTATTAAAGTTGATTTGTAGTTTCTACATTGTGCACAATTTTTGTTTCATTCTAAAACTATGATAACTAGTTAGTTATAAATGTACTTGACCTGATTATTTATTTATTTATGCAGTCCAATGTTTTAGCTTAATTTAAGACCAATTTCAATGACAAAACACTAAAATGATGATGTTTACACATCAAAATTGTGTTTTCAATCAAATCACAAACTAAAAATGGTGACTTTTAGTCGCCACCATGTATTTTGGTCTTTATGTTTGGTGTCAAAAGTTATCCCACAAAATAAAATTGTATTTTTTTAGACGTTGGTTGGAACCAAATAGCTAATTTTTTGTTCTAAAATGGGGTTTTAGTGTTCCATTGGAGTTGCTCTTAAACATTGGAAACTTATTATTTGGTTGTATGTTGACTGATTTATATGTACGTAAAACAGATGGTATCAATGTTGTTTTCTTTATTCTTTTATTTTTGTTTAATAAAAACTATCTTTTTTTTTTTTTGTGAAAGATCTTTTTTTTAACTAATCGTGAAAGCATCATTTACACATTATTTATACTAAAGACTATTGTTTTTTCTGTTATTTACGGATCAAAACTGGTTTCAATTATTTTCCGTTCTATAATAATAAACCAAATACTTTGGGAATATGACTTATTAAGGTAATTCATTTTTCTGTTTGTTCACATCTGGGTAATTATCTTTTTTTGTACACATCTAGGTAACAAACTTGTTGGAATTGTTTACATATGATCATTAGGAACTGTTGTAACATGTTACATTCGGCTACAGCAGATCATAATACTAATATGTGAACACTTTCAAAAAATTCGTTACTTAGATACATATAAAAAAATAGTTACCTAAATATGAATGAACAAAACGAAAAGTAATAGTAAATTACATGAATGGTCCCTGTGGTTTGGGGGAATTTATACTTTTGTTCCCCAACTTATTTTTTTAACTCGGATGGCTCCTGCTGTTTATTTTTGTTGCGTGTTTGGTCCATGTCTTACCTAAAAGAACTATTGTGCCATTATTAATTTATTTTTTTTAATTAATTTTCTTATTTATGTATTTATTTTTTATATATTTAAAAAAATTAATAGACTCCACATACATGTATCTTCTCATTATAAACCTGAAACCACATTTGAAAATTTTAATCTGAGCCCCACCGATCACCATCTCATCTCTCATTCTCTTCAACTCAAATTTCTTTTTCATCTTTAGTGGCATCGACGTCTTCACTATCTTTCTTTTTTGGTCCTTCAACTCTGGCAAACCAACACCATAACTCGATGTCTCTTCATCTTTAATGGGTTGTAGTGTTGATTCATCGGAATTGAAGAATCGGAAAAAAAAAGATGGTAAAGACGTCGATGTTATTAAAGATGGAAAAGAAATATAAGTTGAGGAAGATGAGAGATGAGATGGTTATGAATACATATATGTGGGTTTATTATTATTATTTTTTTAATATATAAAAAATAAATATATAAATAAGAAAATTAACTAAAAAAATAAATTAATAAGGACACAATAGTCTTTTTAGGTAAGATATGGACGAAACACGCAACAAAATTAAACAGTCGAGATCATCCAAGTTAAAAAAATAAATTAGGGACCAAACACACATTCTCCCAAACCACAGGGAGCATTCGTGTAATTTACTTTTACTTCTCGTTTTTTTCATATTTTGTGAACTTTTTTTTTTGTACTCGTCTAAATAATGAATTTATTGAAAGTGTTCACATATAGCCATAATGATCATATGTAAACACTTCCAACGAGTGTATTACCAAGATATGTAAAAAAAAATTACGCACATATAAATAAACAGAAAAATTAATTACCTGTCATGTTCCCGAATGCTATCGGTAAAAGTCGGTTCCAAACCCAATATAATGGGCCCAAACCCTAAACAGGAACAAATGTTCTTATATCGATCATATCTTTGATTTTACGATTTATCACTTTCGATTTTTGGTTATTCAGATTCTAGCTTTATCAAAATAGACATTCCTACCACCTCCATTTTATTTTATTTTATATCTATTTTTTATATGTTTGGTAGTGTACTGATGCTCCATATACAAGTGGCTTTAATTCTTGGTCGACAAGGTAAACCTTTTTTTTTTTTTTTAATCAAGTCTCCTCTTACCCGATTTTTCATTCATATCGGAGTGGGGGTTATGCTTTTATTGCCTTTGTTGTGTTAATTGAATAAAATTAAAAAAGCAATAAGAAGAAAAGATTTAATAAGTATAACCATAACTTTATTGATAAAGACTATTTCCTCAGCCTCGTTATATGATAGTGCTATAGAACCAAAAACCACTCTTCTTTCTTCCTCATCAGATACAAAAATTAATTGTTATTTGATTCCTAATTCCTAACTGCAAAACTCATTCAACAATGGCTCATCGATCTTCAATGTGTTCATCCAAGCAAGCTCTTCCTGATCAAATTCCTCAAAATCCCAATCAGGCAAATCGCTAGCTTCATCACCATCAAACCCAATGAGCTCAAAATCATCAAGATCGCCAAATTGATTACCAGGTGGTAAAATTTTGTCCAAAAACGCAGCATCAAGTTCCAATCCAAGATCAAATTCTTGATCAATTTCGGGAAAATTAGTTGTTTCTATTTTCTTCATCTCATCATCATCACCATCTGTCTGTTTGACATTACAACAAACAGCTGAAATCGAACTCCCGGAATCTTCAAAAACGGCATTCTTTTCAGGTTGAGAAACCAGAGCATGATCGGGGTTATTACTGTTAATCTTAAGAGATTCGGCAATTTTATCGAATTCAAGCCTTTTGATTGAATAAGCCATGGAAGCTTCTTCAGCGGTGTTATAAGTTCCAAGCCAAAGCCTTCTTCCCTTGAACGGATCACGGATTTCCGCAGCCCATTTACCCCATTTTCTCCGGCGAACTCCTTTGTATTTTGAAACAGACGCTGCCGGAGTTGAAGGAGACGGAGGCTTACTTAGGGTTTTAGACAAACCCCTCTTCTTTTTCCCAGTGTTGTTTTCTCCATTGTTGCTACCTTGACAAGAACTCTCAGTACAGATATTTCCGTCGCCGATCAATGGAATCTTGATTTCCCGGACAATCTTCTTTGACCCGTAGGGTTTTTTGTTGGGATTATCATCATCAGATGAATCAGTTAAATCTGGATCATGACAAATTACTCGAATTGTTCTCATGGGTTTGTTTGATTCTTGAAACTTAGCTTTATTCTTCCAAAAACCAACCATTTGTATACCCCAATAAAAAAGGAAAAAATAATAATAAACGAAACTTGAACAAAACTCAGGTAGTGACTTATGACTATGTAACAGGCCCTCCGAAGAACACAAAAAATTTGAAGAATCGTTTTATGTGAAATCGACCAAAACCGTTTACTCCAGAAGAAATCCTGCAAATGAACAAAAACCCACAAAATTGAATCAATAAAAAGTCAAAATTTAACGAAATCGGAGAAAGGGTTTTAGGAAACCTCGTACCTTTTATGCCTCACAGGCATCGAAACAGTAGAAGGAGTAAAGAGAAACCTATGGCGAGTGAAACAACAGAAAGAACAGATGAACAGAGCAGATGAAATACAGAGCTTCAATGGAGCCCTAATCACAACCAATGAATTTGCCGACATAAAACCAGCTCTTCTTTCTCTCAATCCAAAACCACTGCTTCTCTCTCGCTCTAAAACCCTTCAAGGAACAAACGTAGAAATTGGAGAAGATGGAAGGTTTATATAGAAAAAAGAAAGAGAAAAACCCTAATAAAATGGAAAGTGAAAAACCCTACTGGGTTGTTTGTGAAAGTCAGAGTAAAGATGATGAATCTATGGCCAAGATTAGACTGTGAAGAAGATGTACAGTGAAATTTGACTGTGGTTTACCCAATCGGGTGGAGAGAGAAACATAAGTTTCGATTTAGGAAACGCAAATGCGAAGAAACATAAAGGAAATGTTATTTATCTGCATAAAGAATGGCATGAGTCATGACTCTGGATTTTAATGTCTTTTTCTATTCTCGACTTCGTGAAACGTTTCATTCACTCCGTTTTCCTATTCCAAACGGTTAAAACGTATTAAATGGATCGTACACAAGGTAAGTTTTTCTTTTATAAATGTTGTTTGACAAACATAATGAGAGGTGAGTAGAAGTATTTTGTTCGGTGGCTAACAGTCGGTATTGTTGGCTACACGATTCTGCTGTAAAATTGTACCGCCAAATTGAAGATGGCATAAGTTATAACCCGTTTGAAGTCAATCACATCTCTATCTCCCTCTTCTTTAATCTTTGAAAAACCGAAAATTAAAGTTCTTTAGCTTCACACTTTCATTCAATTTCTTTACGGTTTCATACTCATTTTGTCCGAATCCATTGGATTCTCGTGGCAAATCCATAAAAGACGGTTTTAGCCGAAACGCAACCAATATGACTTAACCGCTTATCAAGATCTGCCATTATTTGTTCCGAAAAGTCAAACCACCCACAATACCAACATTATAAACGTCAATATAACCTACTCTAGATGCAACAATAATATAACCAATCATTCCCCTCCCAGAGCATCGAAAGTTTGTAGTCAAAAAACTCAATTCCAACATCAGTAGGGTTTTATAATCTATATACCTAATTTTCTTAATCAATTCTGAAAACTCAATTTCAACGTTCCCCTCGTAGAGCATCGAAATTTTGTGAAGCGCAAAACCTATAATCCAAAGAATCTAGCAACAAACTCACTCACATCCAAAACGAAGAAACAAGGGACGAACCCGAACCCATCATTGGGATTACAAACACTAAAAGTTAAAGAAATTGACTGAAAAATAAGAGGTGTTGTTGGCTAAGGCGTATTTCAACGTTTCTGAAGATAAGCAATGCGACAATCAACAATTGTTTAAGGCATTTTAGAAGCGAGTTTTAAATCATTTTGAAGTGCAACTAGGAGGTTCAGATCATACAAGACACTAAATGAACTCCAGATGGAATGGCGGGCAGTAATTTAATGAAAAGAAGGTCTCGGGCTTTAAAGGCTGAAATATGGACCTTAAATGAATAAAATTTTGGGCTAAAAGTATAAGGCTTAAGACTTAAATGGTTAGTGTTGGGCTAGGAGTGATTTAGGCTTATGTTGATTAGGCTTTGTTGGACCAGAAATTTCAAAATACGACACATAAGGTGCCACGACGCGAATGTTGGTGCATCCCAAGCGCATGGTTTTAGGGTTTCTCCCGTACTTAATGACATTTTTTCTGAGTTTTAGGTCATTTGCAGACCCCATCACCTCAAAGAGCCTCTTTAGAGTAAACCCTAGCCTACATATTGTTCATCCTTCATTTCTTTCATGTTATGGTAACCTTGGAAGCTTTACTTGGAAGATTGAAGAAGAAGAAGAAGGATTATTTGGTGATTAAGAGTTGTTTCCCTTAGGGTTCATCTTCACCCGTTCAACTTTTAGACTTTCATACGATGCAAATCTTCAACCTTTATGCTTATTTGGTGCTAGATCTAGGTTTTAAGTTGTTATGTGATGTCTTCTTGGTACAACTTGCTCTCTAAGACCGTGAACTCTTGTGGCATCAACAACTATTAATGACCTACATAACCCCTATATATAGTGGACTTGGGTCGGTCACTGGGTTTACGGCTGTAAACAGACTTACGGCTGTAAACTCACCAACAACCAACCAAAACCTCATAAACACTCAAAAGAACTTATTACAATGAAAGCCTAGACCAAACCACTAACTAGACCCTTCAGCTGGTGTTAGAAAAATGTTTGTGCATGCTTGTCCTTTGACCATGCATTAGGTTTTGGCATTATAAGTGGATTCATGGATGTAGGGTTTTAGAGTTATTAAGCTCTCGGGATGGATAAAGTTGGAACTTTATCCATTAAGTCATTTAGGAATACCAGTTCTAAGAATTAGAAATTATATTATAAAGGATTAAGAGCTTAATGTGTTAAGTTGTCTGGATGGAAATCACAGCACGACACATAGAATGTCACGACGTCATTTTGGAGCATTCTCGACTAGTTTTCCATTTAGTTGATCGCGACGTGATTGGCCTTGGACTGTTAACTTTTGAATTTTTTACCAGTTTGACCTTTGGGTTAAACTTGGAGGTTTTGAGTTATAGATTAAGGTTTAGCCTATGATGGGTTTAGGCAGTGCTCGTAGTCGATTCGTTAGGGCTTTGGTTTGCCGAATTTAGCTTTAGGATTCAGGTGAGTATACTCACTATACCATGTAGGACATTAGGTGTCATTGTATGTTGTATGTCTTTGTGAACTTTCATGAAAGACTATGGTTAGATCATAACACATGTATGAAAAGACTATAGTTGAATTGTAGCAACAGAAGTGATTATAAGATTATAAGTGTACGATAACATTTACATGGTTTGTAATATACCCCCTGGGATTGATCCCATTGTTATGTGTTATATGTGGTATTTTTGGGAAGTCGCTAAGATTTGTTCTTATGATTTTAAGTTAAAATATTTTTTAAGTTCTTTTGTACGTATAGTAGATTTCTTGGGGGTTCGGTTAGCCGATTTTGCTCTGGGATTGAGGTAAGTCTTCTGACTATACTATATAGGAGACTAGTCACTTTATGCTTTTATGCCTTTGTGAATTTGCATGAAACATATTGTTGGATCATATCACCTATATGAAAGACTATGGTTGGATCATAGCAAGAAAGATTACAGTTGGACTGTAGCAACGAAAGTGATTGCAAGAGTATGGGTGGACGATAGTGTTCACATGGGTTGATATATACCCGTAGGAATGGGCCCAGTTTTATGTGTTGTATGTGGTATTTTGGGGGATTCACTAAGCTTTATGCTTACGATTTAAGTTTAAATGTTTTTAGGTTCTTTTGGCAGCAAAGGGAAGAGTACATGTGATTGCATCACATCTACTATTATGATTTTGATATGTTCCGCACTTATGATTTTATTACTCCTATTTATGTTATCAAAACAATTGAATGTTACTTTTTTATGACTGAATGGTATGGTCACCTTTGATTTAAAAAAATGAAAATTCAGTTATAAAATTTAGGATGTTACACAACACATTTTCTTCCATTCCAAATTTATCCAATTTAATTCTCATTTTTCCTATTACAATCCAATTTTATTTAAAATGGATTCAACTACCACCTAATCCTAAATGTACAAACAATGGTCATAACGTGAAGAAGTGACGTTGACAAAAGTTTTACATTGACATATTGGAAGACAATGATGGAAATTCACAAAGATCGTCTGATTTTTTAGGAACACGAAGGATCGAAAATAACAATATATATCAAGCAATATAGAATTAAGAACAAAGAATAATACAAAATTAATTTTGATTAACAACTCTCACAAAGAGAGAATACACAAAGCAATATACTTTTACATGCAACCCTAGTGTATTTTATAAACTAGGGTAAATACTACTCTAGAATGATTTCCCTAAAAACTTATGGATTCATACACAAAAGATATACACTATGCATAAAAGATCCCATCATTAAGATAATAGATCTGAGTCTTGAAGCTTAAGTAAATAACAATGTAATATCCTGTTTCGAGAAGTTTCTCATTTTGGGATTATGGACAATAAATGGATCAAGTAAAGGCCTTAGGCTTCAAAGGAATAGGGTTTAGACACTATTAGATGTTGATAATATTGGTTATGAGATCCAAGCCCTCGATTTTTGTTTTGGAGTCAAAGGGTAAATAGGAAAAGTGATGTTTCAGACTTATTTCATGAAAGAAGGATTTTAGTTCGATATGTTTTAATTCATACATAATTAGATAGGATCGTGGGGATATTCAATACCTTTTTGTGCATATAAAGAACGTCGAAAAGACAGTTGAAACAAAGAAGTTATGGTTGTTTGAAGTTGAAGGGGGGGGGGGAATGGAGATTTCTGATTACGCATGACATAATTTAAAGTTACGCAGGGCGTAACAAGGGTTTAATGAATTACACAGGGTGTAGTCTAGGCAGATCAAAACTCTAAATATTTGGTTTTGATCCATATTTAAGAGCTCTAACTTATATGAAGCCCTCTCATTACCAGCATCCATCACCTAAGATCATTCCTTGAGAAACCCTAGCCTCCTCTAATTTGTTTTTTGAGCCTTGGCATCATTTATGTGCTTATTTATCCATTGGAATGTTGAATCTTGA